AAAGAGGACCAATTACCAACCAAGCTTCAAATCAAATCCTAAGGTACAAAACTGAGCACCTATGGCAATTTAGAGGATTTTTTGTAAAGCAAACAGTGGAATTTTAGAGCAAACTTAAAAAGAAATTTTTATGTATTAGTTTCATATCATTTGGATTAATATTGAGATTTTGAGAGATTTTCAAACTTGATAATGTACTTGGTAGATTAAGATTTTGAGAAATAAAAATATGTTAACAAATTTTAAGATTTTATAAGTTTTATAGCGTATTTACAAGTAAAAATTAAGAAATTTGTATTTTTGCTTGTTGTAAATGTATATAAGAAATTTGAGGTCAATTAAAAATTTAATTAAAGCATATGAGGATTTTTGTAGATTATGGTCTTAAAAATTTGAGATTTAGAATAAGTGAGTGATTCCAAGATCTAACAATATTTGTTAATTGGATTGAAGCAAAATTTGATAGAAGAAATTAAGACTTAAATATTTACACACAATCTAATTTTTAGAATAATTGAACGGTTCAAAAAGGTAAAATTGGCATTGAAAGATCAGCATATAAGTCAGAGAAGAAAAGCAACCAACAACGAAGAGGTTTTGAGAGCTTTTCTTGGAATTTGTGACTCCAATTCTTTTCAAATTTTTTATACTTATTAATTTCTTATTGGTTGAAGTTTGAGTAAAATTTTAGTTAAGATCTATAGTTCAATTAATATTTATTGAAATTTCAAATAATTATAATAATTGATTAAAATTTACTTAGAATTATTTTTGAAATTATTTAGGATTTAGTATTTTATTAGGATTTGGCCTAAAATTAGGATTTGGAATTTTCTTAGGATTTAATTAGGATATAAGTAGGATTTGATTATAATTTATTTAAGATTTGATAAGATGTGATTAAGATTTAGGATTTCATTAGAGTTTGGTCTAGGATTGGGATTTAGAATTTGATTAGGATTTGATTAAGATTTGGCCTAAGATTAGGATTTAGGATTTGATTAGGATTTGTCTTAAGATTAAGATTTAAGATTTAATTAGGATTTGATTAAGATTTGTCCAAGATTTGATTAAGCTTTGCCTAAAATTTGATTAAAATTTATTTAAGATTTAAGTTTTCATTAAGATTTGGTTGGAGTTGGTTTAGAATTTTATTAAGTTTTTTTGAAGATTACATTAGGCTTTGATTAGAATTCAATTAATTTATTTATTTTTGATATTTCCCTAAGATTTTTTTATTATATATATTTAATTAAGATTAATTTATAATTTCTTTATGCTTCTTTTATAAGTTCTTGAAACTTTTTTTGGAATTATTTAAAGTTTGATTAGCATTTTTATAATTTAATTGAGGTTTATTTAGGATTCTATTCAAGATGTTAGGATCATCTTATTGCAAGTTCGATTTTTTCTTCTACAACTAAGTATCTAATATATTCTTAAGCAGACTTCATGTTATACAAAAATGTAGCTCCTAATTAGATAGTGTATATGGAGGCAAGAATGAAGCCTTCTTCACTCTTGTCAATACCTTTTTAGTCCTTATTCTTATTTCAAGACTTTTTAGTAGTTTTACCTTTGGCAATAGCCATTCTAATTTAATATTATTCTATATTTTAATGATTTTTTAATCTTTTAAGTAATATAAGAGTATATTTATCTTTTAGTTCTATGAGATTCATGTCTTTGAGACATAAATGGAAATTATAAATTATTTGGTAGAATTATTATAGTCTTTGGTAGAAAATCTTTGCAAATTTTTCTTATTATTATTAAAGGCTCAAAAAAAATTATTAATGGTTCTTTGCAACAATCAAAGATTTGGTATAATATTAAAGTTTGTAAGTTGACCAAAAATTTGTGTCTAAAAGATATATTTGATGATAATTGATTATTTGCTTAAGAATTCTTAAAAGTATGGATTATACAAAATTGTTACTTTTATGAATTATTTCATGATATAATATTTTTGATTAATATATCTAAGAATGATTTCCATTTATAATTTGGAAATAGATCAATAATTATAAATCTATTAAAAAATATATTAATTTTTTGAAATCATATGAAAGTAGGTCCAATATTAGATGATTTGATTCAAGCTATCTATTTGAAATTTGATGAAGATGGAATACTTGAAGATGAATATGTCACCAACATATTTTTTTAATTTACACAAAATTATGATATTGATGATTTAAACACATATATTATAGAGAGATTTTTTAGAGTTTTATATATTTATTTCAATGCAAATGTAGTGATTATAGAAGATGGTGCTAATACTAGTAATTACTATTCAATCAAGTATTTTAATAGATTAAGTCTATCTAAATTGTCACTATTTAATTTGGAACTAAAGATCAAATATCCTATTATGGTATTGTAAAATATTACTCCACATGAAGGACTTTGCAATAAATCATGTTTAATCATTACACAATTCATTGATCAAGTTATAGAAGCAAGACTTTTATCTAAAGACTATAAGAGAAAGTTGACTTTTCTTCAAAATGATTAAATAATGCCCATTATTTTTAGAGATTCTATTTAAATTATAAAAAAGGTATTTTTAATAAAGATAAAATTTATAATGTTCATTAAAAAATCTCAAGATCAATTATTAAAGAATATAAGAATAGATCTAAGATTTTCCATTGTTGTATTATATAAAAGATAACTTTGAAACACAATTAGCATTTGATTGTAGAAAAGTTTGAACTTACATTAAAGTTTGATTTACAATACATAAGATATTTAGATACATCTTTTTGCATCTTTGAACAATCCAAGTAAGATTAAAATTATTTTAAATAAATCTTATTAAAATTTTAAAATTTCTATATAAATCTTATTATAATCTAATTAATTTTAAAATAATCCTCAAATAATCTTTAAGATACTTTAAATAAATTCTAATTAAATCTTGATTAAATCTTAATAAAATTTAATTCAAAAATTAAATCCTAAATCTTAATTAAATCCTAAATTTTAAATCCTAATCTTAATAAAATCTAAATCAAATCTTAATTAATTTTTAAATTCTAAATCTTAAATCCTAATAAAATCTTAAATCCTAAATCCTAATTTTAATCAAACCTAGACCAAATCTTAATAAAATCTTAGCCAAATTTTGTAGCAAATTAAAACCACTATAATTAATAATTTAATTATTAATTTTAACTAAAAATTTGTACATCTTTCAATTAATTAATTGAAAATAAGCACAAAAAATTTGAAGAAGATCAAATTTACCAAATGGAAGTTAAACCTTATGATTTGCTTGAATATTAGTTAGCATCCTTTTCTAACTTTGATGCCAATTTTCCAGCATCAATACCTCTTAATTTTATCATTAAATTGGTCTTAATCTTTATATAATTGCTAAAAATTAAGTTTGCTACTAATATTAAAAAAACATTTCAATTTAATTGCCAAATTTTAGAAAATCTTAGAAATCTTCATTGATCCTCTAAATTGTAATTTTTGAGACCTCAATATATTTGAATTTTAATAATTTTAAAATAAATTACTTGATCAAGCTTACGATGCACATTTCGTTTTTAAAATTGTAATTGCACAACTATAAAATTTCACTTGTAGATCTACTACCAATCTTATAAAATTCTCTAAAGTATAAATTCTTTATATTTTCAAAAAAACCAATATCACCCAAAAAAAAAAAACCCCTAATTTTTCAAAGCTTTTGCAAAGTCATTACAAATTCAAATCACTCAAAATCACCACTTAAAGAATATTTCTCAAATTTTCTCTCTAATTCCGCTATTTGATCACCAAAAAAATCCCAAAATTATTGTGGATACATAGTTTTGTGCCTTAAAAACTGATTTTAATTGTGGCTCACAACTAGTCCTCTCCAGTAATTAATTCTTAATTTCTTGAGGTAGTTTTTGCTAAGAACTCCTCATAATTCCTTCCTAAAAATGCCTATATTGGTTGTTTTTTTGTCTACTTTATTTTGCTTCATTTATGGTCATATAAAATAAGTAGAGATTGATTTTGCAAAGAAGCAATATTAGCACTTACTAGTGTTATTATCTCCTTGACTATTATCTACACGTCTAAGGTGATTTGCTACAATATTTTCAATTAAGCTCTTCTATAATATAACCCTATTTTTTCTTTTCCACCTAATAGTTGTATTACAACACAACACTCTATGTACACATGGAAAGTTGTATCTTGTCCTTTCACAATGCACTTCTTCAAATATGATCAAGATCTTATACTTTAAAAATAATGAAGATAAAAATATTACAATAAATATAGTATATTTAGAAGTTCTCTTAACTTAGTTGTTTTAGTTGTTGTCATAAGTAAAAATTACATTTACCAATTACAATGGAGAAATATAAATGATTCTATTTTTATGCATATACTATTTTTTCTTTTCTTTTTTTTCTTGATCAACATTCCTATAAGAGTGTTCAATTTTTGATTTAGCAACTACATATTATATTTTTATACATTTTTTGTGGCAACGGCAAAATTTTCTACTAATATATATATATATATTTTTTTTTTCATACATTCTTGAGTTCATTACTTCTTTTTCTTCAAAATAGCAACATATCATAGTCAACATTATTTTTACTTCACTAAATGTAAATATATTTTCAAAAAAAAGGCAAAAACTCATCAAACATTGTAAATCCACCTCCAATCGGTTTTGTCACAAGAACCATATGCTTACGAAATCCCAATAATGCATTTGCCAAACACACAAAATATCTCTCAATCACAATGCTTAACTTCCCACCTATTCCAACAACAAGAACAAAGGAGAGAAATGCCAAAGGCATCCTCGGAGAGAAAGAAAAGAAAAGGTAAGAAAAGTGAAAGGCGAGAGAGGAAAATCTGAGGAAGCAGGAATGCCACTAGGATGGAGCCACGTGGAGGAACCTCATAAGCGAATCTCCTGGAAGGCGGGGATAGGGCCATCCAAACCGTCTCCGCGACCAGCCCCTCGCCGAAGCGAAGCCAATGCCAATTAATCAATTTCTTTGGCAACTGAGGGAGGGAGAGGCTCTTCGATCGGGGAATTCCCGTCGCCTTTCGCGTGTGTAGGACTCTGCTCACTCAGATTCTTTTCTCTTCTTCACTTCTCCACTACATTAGTTGGGTCCTTGCGTCGTGTCGGTGCTGTCTGAGGAATTGCGAAACTGATGGGTTAGAATTTGCAGTTCGCAGACATCGCATTCTGCGTGCGTGTGTGTGTGAGAGAGAGAGAGTAAGAAAGTGAGCGATTGCGGAGGTTTATTTGAGGGGTTTTACATTGTAGTGCGTTCTAAGGGAAGGGAGAGATGTATACTTGTAAAGCTTTAGTGAACCATGGAGCCACATTAGTGGTAGGAGCTTCGGCTTTGGGGTCTGTGGGAGGTGATTCGGTCGCGAGAGCTTTTGACACATCAAGCTTTGCTATTTCACCCATTCCATGTGCTCTGTTGACTTTGCATGCGCTTGCGAACTCGTTCCCGCATTTTGGGTCTAGGGAGGGTGCTTCTCATGTCTTCCAACTTCAGCGGCGGAGTGTTGGGGATTGCCAGGGTTTGTGGCACTCTTTTGGAGCTTTAGTTAGGGGCTCGAAAGTTTTTGCCAGCAGCCGCTATGACAGTTCGGTTTCTGTTTCTCGCCCGGGAAGCGCTCCTGATGGCGCTGAAGCTGCACGAGATAGCCCAGTAGGTGACGAGAAGAATTTGCCCAAGTTTGATGTTAGCAGCAATTGTGTGACACCTGTTTTCCGAGTTTCTCCGTTCATACAGAAAACTTCGGTAATCTTTCGTTGCATCTTGATTGCATGACACGAAATTGTAGCCCAGACCTAAGGAATCTCTATCTTATGATATGCACAAAAGATTGCGCTAGATTGTTTACTGTATTTCTTTACAGTCTTAGACCTGATTATGTCATGTGTCAAAATGTCCGTGTAGCTTGTGACATAATTGTTGCTTTGATCACCAGTAAATCTGAAAATCTTGGATTACCCTCATTGAGTCAATCTGCTCTCCAGCTGACACAACCTCGATTTTGATGAGTTTCCTTCAGGACTTGGAGAACACAAAGGTTCGGGTCTTGTTCGTGAGCGAGGGTAACGTATGTCGATCAGTGTATGCCGAAGCAATTTTCAACTCACTTATTGAAGAGCAGGGGATGCAGGAGTTTGTCGAGTGTGCTTCTAAGGTTCGTTTCAGTAAATATTATTCGTTTCGAATGGAATGTACATACACTTTGTGTGGTGATTATTCACCTTCCATGTCCTGTAGTAGCGAATTTAACATTCGAAACAAAAATTGTGGCTAGCTTGTGTGGAAGTTTAAAAGACTCCGAGGAAACAGAGTAATACAACCCTAAACCTAGCTTCCCACTTATTGAAAGATATTACTGAAAAATTTAAACGTTCCCTCTGATAATCATCTGATATAGGCTTCCAGGGATTACAATGTGGGAGAGTCTCCAGATCCACGAGCAGTTTCAGTGGCTGAAGAGTTTGGACTCAAGTTGCCAGCAGGAGCCACTTCATGCGTCTTTGATTGTCAGGCAGACATTGTTTTGTTCGACCTTCTTGTCGTTATGGATAAGGTGAAGTCTCTAACTGGAATTTATTTGTGAAATGTCTTCATAAATTCCGTTACTTAGTACACGATTGAGAAGCTTCGCTTGCATACTCTTCAATCCAAATGGATACACTTACTTCATGGTTGAATTATTTGTTTAATCATTTCGATTGATCCGCGAGACTCTGTGGAGATGTTTCTTCACTATCAACTGTGTGTGTGCGTGCAGTTTAATGCTTCAGACGTGCTGAAAGAAGTCACAGTTTACGAGGCAATTGATAAAGGGGCTCGATACACCCAGAAAGTTCGACGCCTTGCTGAATTTTGTAGAACAAAGAAGGTGAATAACTTTGTTCATCGTCAAAAGTTGATTATGAAGAGACTGTAGCGTCTGCTTGAGAGTGGATGGCTTGAATATTGTCACTACTATCATTCCAGGATTGCAGGACTTAAGAATGCCAACTGTTGCGAGCAACTTTTCTTAGTAATTAATTGTTTCAACATGTGCGAGCTATCTCTTAATTCAGACTCATTCTACGTTGAGCCACTTGACTCAATAGGAATCCAAGGCCCTCAATCTAAAAATCAAGGGGCTTTAGAATCATGTAATTTATGCTAACAAGGAGCGGTGCCATATGGTGACAGATGGAAGACATAGATGACCCGCTGTACGGGAATATGGGTGGTCCTGAGGAACTGGTATTTTCCTTTCTCCAATCAATGCTAATGTAATTTAAGCATTTTTTTAAATTTTTTCTCCTGGAAAATTGCTGTGCGAGAATTGGTGAGCACTGGATGCTTTTTAAATTTATAGTTTTAACTCTGTGTTAAAATGGAAAAGGGTATATTTTTACCAGTATTCCAGTACCAGCTACCGTGTAGTCTGAAATTCGTTTCGTTTCGTTTCTTTGACTATCAATTTCAGGTACTTCTGCGAGAATCATATGAAGACATCCGAGCTTCATGCGTTGGTCTCATGCAGACTATAATGGATATCAAGGGTGGCTTACAAGGTATGAACTTAAATTTGTCAAGAAATTAATGTTACACAAGATATTGTTCAAGTTAAGTTCAATTGTGTAATAATGTGTAATCTTAATAGGTCATTTGATTCAAAGCTCATTGCCATCGCTTTTTGGAACAGATTCAGAAACATTGAAGCAGGGAGTCGCAAGGTCTTTGGGTGCAATGGAGTCACTAGACTGGCTTGTACCTCCTATGTTACAGAAGGCAGACCCAATGCTATTTAATTGATCATTATTATTCTTCTGCATCAGTATTCATTTGAGTCAAACCATGTAAACCAGCCAGGAAATCCGTCCAGTGTGCGTGCCGGTCTTTCACCTTCTCAGGCAGGTTCCCCATGAAACCGCCCCTATGGATACACGAACTCAGTTGAACTCAGTTGTGTTTATTTTGAGCATGTTCCAACTACCTCAAGTTTTGGAGCTCATAGTTCAGTGTGGCCAGAAGCTGACAGCAACATCAAAAACAAGATATGTTAAGTTGTCAACTAGATCATGTCAGGAAAAGCTAGTGAGCACTGAGAGGCAGGAAATATTTTTGGCGGTGGAGATAATATTATGTTTACATACGTTCAGGAAAAAATGATGGTGTTTAAATAATGGAACGTCTTGGATCTGTCTAACTCATCTCCTAGAATTTTTTTAACTGTAAAATGTTTTTTTGTGACCACTTCTTAGCAGGTTAGGGTTACTATTGAAGGAGGAGAGGATAAATGAGGATTCTTTATGGCACATATTTGCTCCTACGTGGCAATCACACCAGGAAACATACCAATATGCAGAGGTCATTACTAATAGATTTTGGAACCATTGGAAGGAGAGTTATGGGAGATTTATCCATTGAAAGAAACCACAAGAGAAATTTTCTTCAATATGTTTTTAAAAGAGTTTTGGAAGTTTGCTATTACAAAATTCAAATTATATCATTGATGTTGATATAAAGTAATAAATTAAAGAATGTATTGTTTCAAACAAGAAGTTATAATGGTTAGTTATAATGGGAACTTACCATATTCCGAACAACAATCAAGTCATTGACATATGATTTAGGACTTTTTTAAAATCAAATGAGAACAAGGATAACAAACTTAGTTAAAGATTTTACATTGTAATAGTCACAAGAATAGAAGAAGAGATTAATTAAAGCCATCCATTCCATCACAAGAAAAAAAGAATCATACTAATTGACTTTACTTTTAGTTTTTTTTTGGATACTAGCCATGTCATAAAAAAAAATAAAAAAATAAAAATCTAATATTAGAAGATATCATAAGACTCAAGTAGGATAAATAACAAGTTTATGCAAAATATTGCTATAAAGTCTATCAATTGAAGAATAATTAGAATAATGACAAAGTTAACTTTACATTGATTACCAACAATACAAAGCATAGGTAATAAAATAAGAACCACAATATTGCCAAAGATAGTGTACTATTAGTTTTGCAAAATGATGGTTGTAATTTCTTTGAAGAAAATGCTACTAATAAAAGAAATCAAGATCACAACTAATATAATTAATATCCATCATATAAAAAATATTTTAAAATACATGATGCAATGAGATGGCAACAATATTGCTCTAAGAAGAATACTAAAGATGTTAGGGACATAGTCTTTAGAACCTTCTAGAGACAAGTTTCTAGAACCTTCTAGAGACAAGCTTCTAGTACCTTCTAGAAGCAAGTCTCTGGAACCTTCTAGAAGCTTCTTAGTTGGTAGAAGATGTTCGAGACATAGTCCTTAGAACCTTCTAGAGATAAGTTTCTAGAACCTTCTAGAAGCAAGTCTCTGGAACCTTCTAGAAGCTTCCTAGTTGGTAGAAGTTGTTTGAGAAGCTTCCTAAATAGGAGTATATATTGGAATCGAGGCTGAAGAGTTCTTCAGTCTCGACAACACATCTCTTGGAGCTCTAGCTCTCCTCTTTGGTGTTGTTCTTGTATTCATCTGATTAATCTAGTTCTTGCCAGTTCTTCTTGAACTTCTTGGTAGATATCAAGTCTGTATTCTGTGTCCGTGACAGTTTGTCGAGACTTCACTCACCTCAGATATCAGAGCTAGTTTCTTCTTTGTTAGAGTGTAGATTATCCCTCTGCTTGGAAGTGTACTAGCACTTTAGAGGTTGCGGATTACCCTCCTCTAAACTGATACTTCTTTTGTTACAATATTGGAGTCTTATTCTTCTTGGAGAGAGTGGATTACCCCTTTTCTTGAAGCTCTTAAGGCATTTTAGAGGTTGCGGAGTACCCTCCTCTAAACCAATATTGTCTTCTTGTAGAGTCATTCCTGTCCTTCTCTTAGAATGGTCGAGGGCCAAGACATTAGTATGACGGAAAGTTCAGAGTCCAAGTTAGATGCTATCATGAATGCCCTCGCTACGTTATCACAAAGAACTGCAGAGATTGAAGGAATCGTGGCAAGGCTTCATAATGATGGAGCATCTGGGATGACACAATCTAGGTTGCACCAGCCTCAAACTTCTACACTTGGAGAAGCAACTTTGCCTCAGGTTCGACAAGCACCGCTGGTTCTACAACATAAGGAACCCCGAGTTAGCCTTCCAGACAAGTTCGATGGTACACGTTCCAAGTTTCGAGGATTCATCAACCAAATCAAGTTGATAACAGTTTTACAGCCCGAACCCTATCCAACGGAGGAGTCACGTGTTGGGCTTGTTGGAACCTTACTTACATGACAAGCTCTATCATAGTTTGCTCCTTTGTTTGAGAAGCGATCGTCCATACTAAACAACTTTGAAATCTTTTTGGAGGCATTTGCGGAAGCATTTGGTGAACACGACAAGGTTCGATGGGCTACAACAAAGATCCGGTCACTACGACAAGGGATGCGTTCTACATCAGTCTATGCATCGGACTTCAGGCAATTAGCATGCGACATCAATTGGGACGAAGAAGCGTTGATGAGTCAATTCTATTGGGGTTTAAGGGACGATGTGAAGGATTTGCTATTAACTCTTCTTGATCCGCAAACGCTCAACGAAGCTATTAGCCAAGCTGTGAAGTGCGATAACCGCCTATTCCAACATCGCCAAGACCAACATTCAAGACAACATACGGTTCGCCACATCCCAACTATGTCGGCAAGCAGCGTGAATTCACATTCAGAGGTAGAAGACATGCAAATTGATGCAGTACGTGTCAAATCTCTTACTCTAGAAGAAAAAAAGCGGCGTATGGAGGAAGGTCTATGCTTGTATTGCGGTGAAGAAGGCCACAAAGTTGGAAACTGTCCTAAGAAGCAAAATCGACGTATTATCAAGACTAGGGGTGTGATTATTCAGGAAAACGAAGATGCCCAGCCACAATAAGAACCGTGTGGCTGGACAGTGAAATATCGCAACAACAACCAGGTTCCTTTCTTTCCGCTCAACCTGCCCTTTGTTTTACAATCCCTTTGCTTATTGGCCCTCAGAAACTGAGAACCTTAGCATTATTAGATTTAGGAGCATGTGCTTGTTTCTTAGACGAAGAATTCGCAAGGCGTCATAAGATCCCTTTAGTACAAAAATCCAAACTTATTCACGTTGAGGTCATAGATGGACGACCTTTATTGTTTGGTAGTGTCACCCATGAATCAGAACCTATAGAAGTGACATTTAAGGACCATAGTAGTCATATTATTTTCAATATTATTAGAACCCCATCAAATCCTATTATTCTTGGTCTTTCCTGGTTGGAAAAGCATAACCCATCCATAGATTGGAAGTTGCGGAAGATGACCTTTCCTACAAAACCACCCAAGAGCAAGTCTAGTAGAAAACCCCGAATAGAGAAATCCTTATTTATTGGAGCAAGAGCGTTTATAAGATTGTCCAAGGAAGGCACACCATTTGTCATTTATGCGGCTCCAACTACCGGGAAGAAGATCTCGACAGCAAGTATACCGGAGCAATATAAGGATTTTAAAGACGTGTTTCAAAAGAAAAATGCCGACATGCTACGAAAACACAGACCATATGATTGCGCCATAGACTTACAGGAAGGAGCACAACCGCCTTTTGGCCCAATCTACAATCTATTGCAGTTGGAGTTGGCAGAGTTGCGGAAGTACATCGACGAGAATTTAGCCAAGAACTTCATCCATCATTCAAAATCATCAGCTGGAGCACCCATCTTATTTGTGAAGAAGAAAGATGGCTCGTTGCGGATGTGCGTGGACTATCGAGGCCTCAACAAGGTAACAAAAAAGAATCGTTACCCGTTACCCTTGATTTCTGGTCTCTTAGAACAACTTGGATGTGCAAGGATCTTTACAAAAATTGATCTAAGGGGAGCTTACAACCTCGTACGAATCAAGGAAGGAGATGAGTGGAAGACAGCGTTCCGTACAAGGTATGGCCATTTTGAATATAATGTCATGCCCTTTGGTCTTACCAATGCTCCATCGGTCTTTCAACATATGATGAATGACATTTTCTGAGAGTACCTTAACAATTTTGTTATCATCTATTTAGATGATATTTTGATATTCTCCAAAAATGACGAAGAGCATGAAAAACACGTTCGTTTGGTATTGGAGAAACTACGCGAGCGAGGACTATATGCCAAGTTGGAGAAGTGTTTATTTCACCAAATAGAGATGGAGTTTCTGGGGTTCGTTGCGACTACGAAAGGCTTGAAGATGGACCCCAAGAAGGTGGAAGCAATTGTGGCTTGGGAGGTTCCGAAGACGGTTAGAGATGTACAATGCTTTCTTGGTTTTGCCAACTTCTATCGGATCTTTATCAAGAATTACTCTCAAGTTGCTGCTCCTCTCACTCGGTTGACATGCAAGGATAAGCTGGAATGGGGACCTCTAGTAGAAAAGGCGTTTCAAAACCTGAAGACCGCATTTACTACGGCTCCAATCTTGGTACATTCAGACTTTACAAAGGCCTTCTATTTAGAAACTGATGCTTTGGATTTTGCTTTGGGAGTTGTACTTTCACAAATGAGAGAAGATAAGAAGCTCCATCCGGTTGCATTCTATTCTCCAAAGGTCTCTGCTGCTGAAATCAATTATGAGATCCACGATAAGGAACTTCTTGCTATAGTGGATTCTTTCCAAGAATGGCGTCACTTTCTTGAAAGAGCTGCACATCCAGTGACCGTATACATAGATCACAAGAATTTGGAGTATTTCATGTCGGCTCGAGTTCTAAATCGACATCAAGCTCGATGGAGTATGTTGCTATCTAGGTTCAATTTTATTATCACTTATCGACCTGGAAAGCAGCAAGGACTATCTGATGCCTTATCGAGGAAATCGTATCCTGTACCAAAGGCTGGAGAAGCAACGTTTGATCAACAATGTACGACATTGTTGGAGCCAGAGCAATTTCAGCTTTGCGCTATTATTATGCCAATTGATGTTGACTTCCTGAATCAAGTACGTGCCGTAACCATTGAAGATTCAGTAGCCATTGATATTAAGCAGCGTGCCAATGACGACAAGTTCAAGGTGGAAGGAGATCTTTTATACTTTGAAGAGCGGTTATATATCCCAAAAAGACCAGCACGACTCCGAGTTCTTCAATCTCGCCACGATTTTCCAGCTGCGGGACATTTTGAATTCAACAAGACCTTGGAGCTTATTTCTCGAGATTTTTGGTGGCCCCAAATGTGGAAGGATGTGAAAGATTTTGTCCTCTCCTGCGACATCTGTTCAAGATCCAAGAATCCTCGGCATCGCCCTTATGGACTCCTACAGCCATTGCCGATTCCACGTCGACCATGGTCTTCAATTTCCATGGACTTCATCATGGACCTGCCATCATCGAATTCATTTGACAGCATCTTTGTCGTGGTAGATCGGCTTACAAAAATGGCACACTTTGTCCCTTGCAAGAAGACATCGTCCAGTGAAGTCACAGCAAGGCTCTTTCTCGATAATGTGTATCGATATCATGGACTACCAGATGATATCGTATCAGATCGAGGAACCCAGTTCGTATCGAAGTTTTGGAGATCTCTCTTTGAGATACTGAAGGTGGATATTAAGCTTTCTTTGGCTTTTCATCCTCAAACTGATGGTCAAACGGAACGGGTGAACCAAGTCTTGGAACAATACTTACGATACAGCATCAACTATCAGCAAGACGATTGGACCACATATCTGCCGCTAGCCGAGTTTGCATATAACAACACCCTCCATGCGTCGACTCAATACACACCATTCTTTTCCAACTATGGGTATCATCCAAAGCTTGATTTATTGAGTCCATCAACAAATAACAATCTAGCAGCTGAAGGATTTACCAAAAAAATATCAGAGCTTCAAAATACATTGAAGCTTCAATTACAATCCGCTCAAGAATCCTACAAGGCGTCTGCAGATAGATTTCGGAATCAAGCACCTACTTTCAAAATTAGAGATAAAGCATGGCTTCTTCGACGGAATATCAAGACCAAGCGACCATGTGATAAGTTGGACTATCGAAGATTGGGACCATTTATCATCCAAAAGCAAATCAATCCAGTGGCGTACCGTCTGGAATTACCGGCTTCTATGAAGGTATATCCAATCTTTCATGTTTCTTTATTGGAGCCTTATCAAGAGTCATCTTTTCCTGGAAGAGTGCAATGTCCGCCACCTAGTATTGAGATCAAGAACCACGAGGAATACGAGGTTGAAAAGGTGCTGGATTCTCGGCGAAGGTGGGGCAAGTTGAAATATCTTGTTCATTGGTGCGACTACGACATTAATGAGTGAACGTGAGAGCCAGCTGAAAATCTCACCAATGCACCGCAAAAGATACAGGAGTTTCATCAACAACATCCTCATAAACCTAAGCCGGTTCGACAATAGCTTCTTTCTGAAGCTTGTTCACCCAAGAATATAAGAAAGGGAGAGAGCACTACCAAAATTCGTAGTTGATGTAATTATTTTCTCCAAGATAAAATAGAATTTTTTCAGTATCCATAGTTTGGTCTTCTGATATGGATAGCCAAGAAATAGATACTATGCCAGTCAGATTACTTCAACCAACTAGTTCACGAAGGCGACCCCGAGATGAAGAACCACCTGCACCACAACGACAACGGAGGATACCAAGTAACCGATCACTGGTGATTGTATTTGAGTCCGAGCCTGCTTGCGATGGTCAACCAGAAGGCATATTTGAAGGACAATTTCACAATGAAGATACGGAAGTTCATGCTTGGTCAGAAGTTGAAGGAGTGGGCCACTACCGTTGGCTTCAAGGGCCGATGAACCACTTACCTCGTGAACAACAGTTGGAGTTCATAGTAGATGTTATGCGACAGATCTTCATTTTCTTGCGTTGGTACTGATTGACAACAACATTGCTTCTCAGAGACCTTGAAGCTAAAGGAGGGGGTGATGTTAGAGACATAGTCCTTAAAACCTTCTAGAGACAAGTTTCTAGAACCTTCTAGAGACAAGCTTCTAGAACCTTCTAGAAGCAAGTCTCTGGAACCTTCTAGAAGCAAGTCTCTGGAACCTTCTAGAAGCTTCTTAGTTGGTAGAAGATGTTCGGGACATAGTCCTTAGAACCTTCTAGAGATAAGTTTCTAGAACCTTCTAGAAACAAGTCTCTGGAACCTTCTAGAAGCTTCCTAGTTGGTAGAAGTTGCTTAAGAAGCTTCCTAGTTGGTAGAAGTTGCTTAAGAAGCTTCCTAGTTGGTAGAAGTTGCTTAAGAAGCTTCCTAGTTGGTAGAAGTTGCTTGAGAAGCTTCCTAAATAGGAGTATATATTGGAATCGAGGCTGAAGAGTTCTTCAGTCTCGACAACACATCTCTTGGAGCTCTAGCTCTCCTCTTTGGTGTTGTTCTTGTATTCATCTGATTAATCTAGTTCTTGCCAGTTCTTCTTGAACTTCTTGGTAGATATCAAGTCTGTATTCTATGTCCGTGACAAAAGAATATAGTTCAATAAGCACAAACCATTACATTTAGAAATGCATAGATATACATGTGAGATAGAATATGCAAAAAAAAACAAAACAAAACAAAATAAGAGCAATAGTACAAACTATTAAAATTGGGATGGAAGATAAATACATGGCTTTGTTACAATCTATTAGTTTCAATGCAATAGAATTTGAATAGGCTAAATATCCAAACAAAACTTATATAGTGTTAATTAATAATTTTTAAGTTAAACCATCATGTAACTCTCAAAAGTGAGAAAAATTACACAAGTATTTTAAAATCAAAAGATACAAAAGTCTTAAGTTGTGAAGAAAAAGTGCTCTATATACAAATATAATAAGATATGTATTTTTATTTCTAAACAAAATATAAATTTATTTGTTAGCTAACTTTCTCATCATTTATCATTTATTAAATATTTATTATTTCTTACATGCATATGTATAGAATCTTTAAACAAAAAAATTAAAATAAATGTATTAAGACTAAGTTGTTAGAAAGACAAGTGGAAATAGATCAAGGAGCAATTGAACATGAATGTGAGGTTAAAAAACAATAAAAATTTAGTTGTTTATCTTTGCATTGTACTAAAGTTTCTAATACAAGACGTAGAAGAAAGCCATGATTCACATCCATAAAAGCAATTAAATTGTTGTTGTTCCTATGACTATCTTTGAAGTTGTAAAAGACTATTTCTTTCACTCTTGCACTTTCATTCTTATATCTTATGTACTTGTAATTACATTACCATCATATATTTACAAATATATACTTAACAAATAAATTTCTATACTTAATTTTGTAGAGTAAATAATTAAAATAATTATATTAATAATTATTATAATTAGTTGGGATTCTATTTAAAATATTTTTAGCATTGTTAGACACACAATTAGACATTTTTTTATTCTAGAAATCAATACATAATAAATTACTAGTATAATAAATTTAAATACTTATTTCTATTATAAAATCTTCCAAATTGATAGTTTATATATATTACAAAATTTGTTGAGAAATAGGTTTCTTAATACACACTTTTTTCTTTAATACAAGTTATTAAAGTAGCAAGACTTTTAATCTACTAATCTTCTTTATAAAACTTATTGAAATCAATCAATTCTTCATCTCTAATTTATGCAAATTTGGATATGAAGGATTTTAAAATAATAGTGAATAAAATGACAAAATGATAAGATTTTTACTTTAAAAGAAAATTTTAATAACATTAATAAAATTTAGAAAAAAAATAGTAGTTTAAATTTTAAATTTCAATTAAATCAAAAAAATACTATTATAAAAAGATTTTAATGGTCTTAAAAAATCACAATAATCTAAATAATTTGACATATAAGAATTTAATTTAATGTTCAAAGATAGTTTGTTTTATAATGACTCAATAAACAATTACAATCTCTATGTTTTATGAACAATTCTAATAGTGATTCAAAGTTTTGGAAGTCCCTTATTCTTTGAAGGATTTGAAAACATAACACCACTATACTCTATCAACTCAACTACAAGTGGCTTACAAATAGATTATGGCTTATATTCTATTTTAGGCATGAAATACTAAAAGAAAAAAATCTTCCAACCAAAAGGTATAAAGATTATAAAGCAACTCATTGTAGAAACATGTTCATAAACTAATTTAAAAATATGCACTAATATGCTCTTTAAGTAATAAATGTGCCCAAACATTAGATTTGAAATATCCGTTTTCAGAATCAAAAAATGATTTTAATTGATCAAAACTCTTAAATAAACATCAAATTTTGTCAGAATAGATGAAACATTTACTAAAGGTTGGCTTGAAAAAAGTAAAATGTCATGTAATGGATTTTCTTTTTCTTTGCATGTCTGACCTAAACTCAGAGTCAACTCACCTAAACTCAGAGTCAAGTTTATGATGTCCTTTTGTAATCAGCCCTCCTTTTTTTAACTAAATGTACCATCAGGGTTAAGCCCTATGAGTTCCAAAATAAGACATGTACCTTTCCCAAGAAATACAGGTTCGATAACCCAATAGAGCGATTCTGAGCGATGCAAATCCAAATGGAGCGTGCAGCTGTGCAGCTTCTTCACCACCCTTGTCTGTGAAGAGGCAAATCCATGGGCGAGATGATCAAGATTCTATACAACCAGTAGAAACTTTTCGAAGATGTACCCAATGAACAGAACTGGATTGCCCCCGCCAGCATCTTCCTCCACTTCTCCTGAAGAGCGAGGTCTTTGCGAGATTTAAAGAACCCAACTGAGTGGACTTAAAAATAAAAAATAAAAAAAACAAGAAAGTAATCCCGAAGTCCAGTTTCAGGGAGATCAAGGTGAGATCATTTTTAGAGTCAATCGAAGTTGATCAAGTATATATATTGCAAGCCTGTAGAGGCGAAACAGTTTGCAGCAAGAGTGTGTAATAAGAGAGCGAGAGAGAAAGATGTTTTTCACAATAAGGTGTCGAGCTAGAAGAGAGTTTCGTGACGAGAAAGGGAATTACCCGCGTTGGTTTTACTCGTTGTTCAACCTTCCCGATGAGAAACAACACTGTTTGAAGCACAGAGGACCCAAAACGCTGAGCAGTTTCTACTGCCTGGATTGCTGTTCTAGGATTTGCGGGAAATGTTGCACCGAGGATCACCGTAGTCATGAGAAGTTCCAGCTTTGGATATCCACGCGCTGCTTAACCATTCGATCCAAGGACCTGTTGAAGAGGGGTATCCAACTGGATGACGTCTTCTCGTGTATCTGCAACAGCCAGGAGGTTACATTCATTTTCAGTCGACATCCGCCGCTGCAGAACAGATCGTCGAGGCCGTGCTGCTGTGTTGTGTGCGGGCATAGGTTCAAGTGCGACAACATCAAATACTGTTCGCTAAAGTGCCTGGTGCTTGGTCGAGGGCGAAAACTTCACGCACCGAACCCCAGCGACAGCATGCAAAATGAGGGTGGGCAACAAGAGGGGGCTCCAGCGGCGGAGGAAAAGCAAGAGAGGGAGCCTCCTTTGGGTCCGCCTGGAGGGATCGATGATGTTCCAGGGAGGAGAAGGCTTCGGAGCAGGAAACAACGCTTCCCGCGCAAAGCACCCTTATACTCCGACACGCCGGGCTGGCTGCTCCAGCCCCCACACTGATGTTCTTTTTAATAAATTGACATTGATTCATTTTCAATCTTATAGGTTTTTAGGAGAAAATAGAAACATCAGCGTAATTAAGCAGCCGACTCCGCATGTATCGTTACAATATATTTCACTGGCTGCTGAAACTCACAGTTAGTTGCTCAAGCATTAATAGAAACTGAAACATTCACTACGGGGAAGAAATAAAATGCCCACCGGGTCCAATTATTGAAATAAAATTATATTCCAAAAAGAATACATCGTCTACTTCTTTGCTGCTGTTCTAGCCTTGGACTTTTTCTTGGTGGCACCAGCCTTGGCCACACGGAGACTCTTATGTACAGCGGCCAACCTGGCCAATGCGGCGGACTTCAAATCAGCCCTGTAGCCATTAGAGGCAACCTACGTCCACAAAGACACGGAAATTTAGCACTGCTATCTAAGAGTTCAACAAAAGAATTCCAACTAGTGACTTTTAGGAGTTAGATGGCAAATCTAGAAGTGTGACACTAAGAGGTGAGAAAACTCCGTTTCAATTGAAGCGTAAAAAGCACCTGATTGACCACGGTCTTAGCCATCTTGCGGAAATCCTTCTTCAAGAGAGAGTTGTGGCGCAGCTTGGCAGGCTGGTTCCTTTTCTTGGTCTTCGTGGTGGTCAGGACCACCGAAAGACCTTCGGCGGGTGCGATGGCCACAGACTTCTTGTTCGCCAACCCTAAAAGTTGAGCGAGTTAATTAACGTATTAACAACGATGTGAATTAAAGGCCAGGGAAATGGAAGACAACAGTTCTAACAATGACGAGGAGCTACCTGAGTACTTGAAGGTGTTCAGATTATACAAGTTATTGGGCTCTGAGCTAAAGGTCACTGAGTTGTTGTTGTTTCCATTTCTCTTCACCAAAAACCTGTTACTGTTCTTGACCAACAACCAGATCAAGTCATCCGATACAGCCGCCATTCTGCACTTACAAGGAAGCACATGAGTACAGAATCAACAAAAATCCTTAAAAAAACAAAAACAAAAAAACAAAAAAAATTCAGTCGATATCGCAATCAAACTATTCACCTCAATTCATAAAACAATCAAATCAATCAAGAGAGACTTCAACATTACATAACTATCCTCGACACGCGAAAGCCCTAAAAATTCACGCAACTCATTCATTAATGGATCAACGCACACAAAACCCAGAATCAGAGAAAATGCGGACGTAAAACCCGCGCCCTACCCTACAACCGACACAAACCCTCTTGAGGATTTTTCGGAGATTGCATGCAAGCACATTCTCACAAGCACATTTCGAAACACCCACCAACTCCCAAAACCTTAAGGCGTAACACAGAACCCTAATCCGACCTCGCAGCCGATGCCCAGAAAAACAAAAATGGGCTGCACTGTTCTAATCATTCAAAAGCTTGCAAGTAACACTGAGAGGAATGACGAGGGTAGAGGAATGAACGAAGTACCTGGAAAAGCGAAGGACGCGTGAGGCCTGCAGCGGGGAAGAGATGGAAAATTTTCAGCGCCAGTTGCAAGTCCGCAAAGAGGGAGCCTTGAGGCGATGCGGCAGGACTAAGTACCAACCTTTCCCTGGGCAAGCCCTCCGCCCATCTGGATGGATGGGTGGATGGATGATTTAAGGCTTCATCCTTTATTGATTTATATCATCTGTTTCCTCATCCATCCAACTGAGGCCATCGTTCGCCGTTCGCGGCGTTCCCGTTCCCGTTCTTCAAGGAACTGGGAGGACAGTGTTTCATAAATATTTTTGTTACAAAAAAAATTGTAAATTTTTATGTTATTATAAAATGATAGCCATAAAAAATTTCGGAAAATCATGATAATTTCTTTCTGTATAAAAATTTAATTTCTTGTTGATTTTTTCAAAAAATTGACCAAAGTAGCAATGATAACTATTTGTTTAGTTTCTTTCAAATTTGAGAAGAAAAATTTTGCTGTAATTACCTAGCTCTTGTATCAACCCAATAAATTAAAATACAAAAATTTGAAACAACATGCATACATACATACATATACGTTTCTTTATTGCATGTAATAATTTATAAAATTAAAAAAAATAATGTTAGTCAACTTTAAACAGGAACCAGTTGAATTCTTGGATAGTTTATTATTGAGTTTACACCTAAATCCACAAAAACATACTTGTAATTAGTTAAAATCTAGATAAATGAAAACAATAACTTCTAAAGATCTGTTTTATTTAAAACTTTTAAACCTTCACATGTTTTAAAATACATAATTTAAGTAACCTAAAATATATTCTCGATGTCTTTCACAAATGGTGAATAGACTTGACGGTTCATTTTTTTAGCAGGCATAATGATAGGAAGCATTTTGCAGAACATAAGAGGATTCACATAAGGGCATAAGGTTTCTACCTTTGACCCACAATGCTCGATTTAGCCATGAACTAAAACCAAAATGATCAGGACTTAAAATGCAATCACATGTGTAATATGATTGGAGATATTGATACAGAACTGTGTTTCAATCCATGACAAGACTGAGGAAAATTGGATGGGGTTTCTTAAATGTGAGAACTCATCACTCTAGCCTGCAGATACTCGAATTATGCAGCGTCCTCAAGTTCTCTGGGAGGTGAACCTATTCTAAACCCCTGCAAGTACAGAATCAACGGTCAAATTTGAGATATCTAAACAAAGCTGGTGTGAGGTAACTTCTAATCAGATGGCACAATAATAACCCAGTGTGACTTGACGCTACTTACATTGTCACTGAATTCTCTGAACTTAGTTGAACATAATCATCCAACGCCACTTGATTGCAGCAAGGGAAGAATTCTACGTGCAAGGAGGTACTGTAAACTTGTAGTGTACAAGACTAACTAAAGGTAGTCAAGCCATTCCCATTTCAGGTTTTCCTGTTGAAGGGAAGGCAATACGTTGACACTGTAAATTACCACCCTCCTGTAGCTTAAACAACACAGCATTCAATTTGTTCACGAAGTCCTCAATTTGTTCACGTAAGCAAGGAATCCAGTGAGACGTGGGGCTGTGCGGACTCGCTCTGAACGTCTCACAGAGGCTTCTTCAACTGCGTATCTTTGAGCAAGCTCCTTAGATCTCTTCTGCAATGCATTACTGCAATACCACAGCGTAGAGGTTCATATCAGATATTTCAAAATAGTCATAATATAAACATCTTCAGGATATCAAGAATGTAAATGTTCTTTACTGATTTGTTCAAACCATAAAACGTACTCCATTTTCGATCCCGGCCAAAAATCTTTGAAACAACTTGGTCCCAGTAATAAGGACTGAAAGACCCAATTCACCTAATTTTGACTTGATACGTTTCCAATTGCTTGCGCAGAGCCTTCTCCCTTATTCCTTTAACATTTAAAGAGCCAATCAACGCATCAAGCTGCAATCAGCAACTAATCAGTTAAATAGCGAAAACAAATCCCGTGTGAAAGAACTAAGAACAAAGCCAAGATTCTGCTATAGAAGTCGATATTCGATGAGGGACATGAACAACTGACAAAGAGGCGTACCTCCTCTTTTCCAGCGTAGTAACCCCAATGTGTGGAATCTTCGCTCTCCACAAAAAGTCGACCCTCCCTATTGAAAAACCAGAAGCGATTGTGATCGCGATCCTTCCCAAGTGGTACTGTGAGAACACACAGTTTTTCCAATTCTCGATCCAGCTGTTCAAGCTGTAGTTGAGCATCCAGGCCACAAAATAAATACTACAAACATCCTGTCCCATAATTATACAATTTTAGGATTATCAGAAATGCTATCATCAGTGTAACAGCAATTGTGCATAGAGATCCCAGATGCACACCTTCTTCTGTCTTTCAGACACCTTTTGCTCTTGCAATTTGCGCACCACCAAGGCATCGGCCTCACCTTTCCTCTTCTTCTGCTCCTCAACTCTCTGTCTTTCCTTTTCCTTTTCCTTCTCTTCTGCAAGTTTCTTTTTCACCTTTTTCTTAAGTTGTTCTTGCCTGGAACGACTGGCCGATACATGCTTATTTTCTTTGTCCCTGTCGGTTTCCAAAATTAATTATCTCAGGTACATGTAACACTTCACAAGTATGAAACATGGAGGACAATTCTCACAAGATCTTTTACTTACATGTCTCTTAACAACTGGTCCAGAGCTCTAGTGCTTCATGTATTTTGGGCTGTCATAGTCATTTGATACGTACTATTGGATACAGTTGCTACTGTGATGATTGCAGACAACGCCCGAGACATTAAGGTAGCATTAAACTTATGTTGGGTTAAACAGTCAATCACTAAAAAGAACGTTGTCAAAACTTTACGGTCGGCTATACAATACGTCATACAGTCTTAATAGCGATCCTTAGGAATAAGATTCCAATCACTCCCCCTCAAAACATAAGCTACGCAAAGGAGTTGCATAAGTCACGCAAAATAAGAATTGTAACTGTGCAAACCGACACTGAGAGCATGCCTCGTTATAGCCGTCGGTCTCCGAGACCGACTGGCAAAAGTGTTGCATGTTCTGAGAATAAACTTAGCTTTTTGAAATACAGATTTCTTAATCAACTTCGCAAATCCAAACAAAACGCAGCAGACTCACCCTGAAACTCCGTTATTGACAGGTGAATGATTCCCATATGAGTTTCGCTTGCCTTTCACCTTCCAAACTGTCGGATGCTTATCTTCAGTCAGCTCCTCGTCATCCTCATCTTCATCATCCTCTGCACCACATCAAGACGACGGTGAGGCTCAAAATCACAAAATAAAAACTAAAAACGAACCTTTAAGGTCTTGATAGGTAAGCATATAAAATATCTACCACTGTCGATGCCTAGCTTAGAAACCATCCTCTAAACTTTAAAGAAAAAAATGAGTTCACAGCTCATACCTCCCTCTCCATTCTCTAAACGTTGTTCTACTTGTTCACCGTTCTCCACACCTCTGCCATTTGCTTGCTCTGCCCGCTGCTGCTTCAAAAGTTCCTTTTCTTCTTTTCTCTGTTTGACTTCTAACGCCTCGATCTCCCTCTTTTGAGCAACAATGAGTTGATACTCCGCAATGTTCTCATCAATCTGATTTCTAATGATACCAGAGTTGAGACAATTGTTCACTAATGTCTGCACAATATTCACCTTTTCAGAAACCTTTACTTGCTTGAAGTAGCCCTTTCGAATCATGGAAATTACATTACTGGACACTCCTTGTTGGCTCGGCAGCTCCAAGAAGTCACAAAGGTCATCCTTCCATTTGGCCATGGTGACCTCAACTCGTTTCTTCCTCTTCTGCTGGAACTCATCCCTCAGGGTTGGGTCGGTCAAAGCTGCTCGGAGCAGTGAATGAATCATCTCCAGCAACAATGGAGCCTCGCCTTCTCTATAGTCAAGTGACTTCTCGAAGTCCTCTAATAAGAAAGGAGAGAGAAGGAGGGTTTTTCCAAACAAGCAACAGAAGTCCCAAACCATCAACATGTCGCCAGTGCACTCAACAGGCACAACAAAATCAGTTGCTGGAACTGGCCGGTCATGTAGAGGAGGATCATTTGCTGATAATTTAACTTGAGTATCCTCGATCGGATAGCGAATGGGTGGTGGTATCACTGCACAAATTCGTAACATCATATCAGCTCTGAAATCTTGTAAACTCATATTGGCGAACCTTGTGCTTATCCAGCAGAGAATAGTCAAATAGTCCATCCAACAGTCGATGAAGGTCTCAAGAACAGCTTCAAAGAATACATCAAACTGAAGCAGTTCAAGCACTATCCATTTACTCATCACTCTCCTTGTAAAAGCAAGACTTATAACCTTGTTTCTTTAGTCTGTGAACGTGAATTTCCGTAAAGGATTTCATCAAATAACCAACATGTTCCAAAATATATTTCAATATCTAACTTGCAGGACTCACTCATATTGCAACTTACATATACCACAGCAACTGATTAAAATTCAAGATCCACAGCAGCTCGGAAGTAAGGTGACACCTCTTTCCACGTGTTGTCTTTTGCTATCGCCCTTCCTTCCGACTCCGGTAGCCTCGCTTCTCTTTCTCTTCCTAACCCCTTGTATCCCGTTTGCCACTTTGGAAACCTACATTACAAAGTTGATACACATTACTAAAGATAAAAGAGGTAAAACTACCTGCATCAGAAGCAAAACACTAATACTATGTCTAAAGTGTTTTGCTCAGGACAGATATTACCAAAAAAATAGAAATAATAGCTGCTGGCAGCGAACCCATGTCGGTTTAAATGGCTCAAAGACATTGATTGGGCTTAAACCGATCATGTAAAAGCGGGAAAAACGCAGCCATGACTTAGAGGATGCATTTCACAAGGCACCTGACAGGCTCAGACAACTTCGGAGTAGGATATCGGGAAAAGCAGGATACAGTTGAGACTTGCGATTCAGTTGAGAAAGACTTCCACCCTTACCTCGAATTTTTCACTAGATAAGTTTCGCTTCGACTGTTTTTTAGCAGCCACTTTAGGTCGTTCAGCAACTGGGATCGGTATTTTAAACTTTCGAGCAAGTTTTTCGTGCACAGACCAGGCCGAGTTCCGAGATAGACCTGATGAAGCCGACTCTCTGATGAACGCCTTCAGAAGAACTCGAGAAAATGGTTGCTTTTTGCGCCGCAAATTCTCCGCCACTATCTGAGAGGTACCAGTTTTCCTCCCTTCGTCGTCCAACCAAGCAACTTCATATAAAGGACTTCTATCCTCTTCTTGGTTAAAAACTTTTAAAATCCGACACGTTCCTAGTGCCTCATCTTGTACCCCCGTAACCTCCTCTCCCGGTACAAATCTCTCCTTGAAAATTTTGTAGATTCTATCGACCAGCTCATCAACACGCAAAGGACCTGAAAACAGAATCATAAAACCTCAGAAATATGCCTGAAATAATCAGAGCATGCCTTTGAGGAGGGTTCACAAAGAAAAGAAAGTTCATGGATATCTACTTCCAGCACGACAACTTCAAGTTCCATCGTCGGTTCATCGCTGAAAAGCATACAAGAAAGAATGCCTACCCTAATTCAGAAAGTAATTAATGGTGTCAACGTAGTTGATGTTGACAAAATAAAGGGAGAAAGCAACTTACTCAAGTGAACCATGCGTAAAACAGGCCCCATGAATTCCTTAGGAAACTGTTGCACTTTCTCCGTGGCCTTGCGTTCAGAGACTAGCGCTTCCTCGTAAGTTAAATTCGTCTTCCCCGAAACTTTGCACGTCCACAACCTCCGCCGGTAGAATTTCATGCAACTCAAATATTCTCTAAGATGTAGTGAAGGGAAAAATGCGCGAAAGAAACGAAACAAGTACAAACTGCTTCAATCCATTCACGCTCACAAACAAAGCACGTGGGAAGACCGCATACTCAATAGAGCAAAAAAAATGGCAATAAGGAGATCGAGTCATGTATCTTCGCAACCCAGTGGAGAAAAACTTCTCCTCGTCACTCTGAAGGAAGCGCAACAAAATAAACCGCCGCCTAGAGGCGAAAATCATCAACAACCAAAAAAATCAAAACAATGAAGGGATGGATACTTATAATCCCGAAAAACCTCCTTCGTGAATCGCACTTTAAAAACGTCCTCATCAGGCAGCAGGTCCTTCGGCGGTTTCCGGAGCACATAAGGCTTACGCTTGAACAGCGGCATTCTGGAAACCCGTGAGCTACCTCTGCCACCACCGCCACGCTTGCCTCGTCGCAATGCGGCACATAGGCGTCGACACTTGTCGTCGGTGCGCACTCTCACAGCGAATTCAACACCTCAACACCGTCCCCTCCGCGCATGGCATCACACTCTTCTCTTCTCATCTCATCCCCACCCGCTAATTAGGTCTTCTCGCAACACGCCTGTCGAACCCCCTTTCCCCACCACACCCCCAGCCAGCCTACACCAGTCGACTTTAATTAAAATCCACTCACAGTGCGTCTCGCTCTTCCCACTCTCGCTCAATCAATCCTCTCTGTCCTCCCCGCCACGACTTCCAAGCGAAACCAGCGGCACGCGCGCGCTGCTGTTCGCGAGCCCCAGGTGGAACCAAGCGATCCGGCGAAAGCCACAGCGTTTCGGAGTTGGGGCGTGGCGGGCGATGGCAGTGGTGGCGAGCCTCATGAGCCTCCGCAGTCGTGGCTTTGGTCTTGCTCCCTCCCTCCCTCTCCCCCCAGCGCTCGCGTTGCCAGCTCTGCCTCGTTGCTGCCTCCCCCCACTGCGTGATTTCCAGCTCCGTTTCGTCCCCCCCCCCCCCCCCCCCCGCTTCCTGGCGCCACTCTCGGACGCACGCGTGGTCTCGTCCGCCGTTCCTCCATTGTCGTGTCTTCCCCATGGAAGGACTCTCGTCCGCGGCGTCGTTTTCTGGACGGACGACTGACGTGGTCTCCGTTTCGTTCACTATTCGTTGTTCTCGTCGCCGGTGCGACTGGTGGTTGGTGGATGAGAAAGAGCCTCGTTCAGACTGCCGTGCTTTCACTGGCTTGTGAAGCAACTAACTCTTGGAATGGGTGTCCACGTCAGCTTGTCCACGTGTGCAGTTACGTGGACTAGTCGAGGATTTTACAAGGGAGATTCGTCGTGTGTGTTTCGGTCATCTTAACAGATGTATAATATTCAAAACGCTCATCTTTACAGTTTCAATGTTTAAATTATTATTGACATGATGTTCTTTTTTAGGTCAGTATCTCAATAATAATAATTACACACTCTATTCCTCGAATTTTTTCTATAATACAATACTAATTCATGAAATCTATAAAAAATAAAAAAATAAACCTTATTGGATTAATTTTAAATTTCAAGACGTTGGGTTCTATTTTTAAATGTTTTCAAAAAAAATTGGAATAGTGGGAAAATTACTTCAATCTTGAAATATATAATTACATTTTTTTAATTGTTTTGTGGAGAAGGCGAATATTGTTTTAAGAGTTAAGTTCATGTTAAGTATATTGTTTTTATATTTATTATGATACCAATACATACTTACATGTTATCAATACATACTTACATGTTATCAATACACACTTACATGTCTTTATTAAAAATAAAAATAAAAATAAAATAATAAAATAAATCTCACTATGTTTATGGAATCATAAATTTGATATTCTATTATTTTAGAGAATACACGGTGAAAGTTTTTTGAGTTTAAGATGTCAAAGTAAATTACTTTGCTAGAAGCATCGATGAAAGATTATGGATTACCAAAGGTTGTGTTAAGTAAAGATAGCAACATATTACAACTTGGATGGGAGTTTTACGTCTTTAAACTAGCTTTGCTTCCTTATAACATATTAAAATAAAAGAAAATAAATATTATGTCAGCATTTGAGCAATATACATGTGACATAGAGAGTTTACCTATATGATTTAGAATGGTATAAAATAAAATATAGCTATATGGAGTTTTTATAAGATTTTAGAGTGATAGCACTTTGATTTCAATAATAACATATTCATGCTTCAAATATTTTCAGTAGATTTGGATGCGGAGTCTTCTAAAATCTTACACAGATTACAACAGGAGAGTAATTTTAATTAAATTTTTATTGAATTAAATAAATATATATTAACCAAGTGATTTTTATTTTATTTCTGAAAAAATCCAATTAACAAACTTATAGATAGTAGTAGCAGGCCAAAATTAATTTGGCACCAAAACATATACTGATATATTTAAACCTTAACTGATCAACACTCCTTGCAATTATTTATACAAGCATCTTTTTTGTTAAAATTTTATTTTATGATCATATTATCTAATCAATTATTTTAGTTATTAAATCTTTTATTTTTTATTTGTAATCACCAACTGTATGTATATATATATATATATATAAATGTTAAAATTTGTGACCATTCAATGGAATTATCATTAAACCACTTTTAAAAGCACATAAGATGTTCTATTGGTACCTTGCCAACAAATGTTTCTGTAAAGTGCCACTCAATCTCTATGTAAATGGATAGGCTAGTCTTGTATAAATGTATTATTTATTTATTTATTTATTTTTCGGTTTAATATGTTCATTATTAAAATAGAGTGGTAACAAACTCTATAACATAACCCTTCTATATTTGGGGGGAAAAATATAAAAGAGAGAAAAAAATGGAATCCAAAAATTCATAAAGAATTTTATTAATAAAGTGTTAATTAATTTCGTGAACTTTATTATCAAAAGGCAACTGGAAAAATGTTTAAAATGAAATAGTAGTGATGTTTAGTCACATTCAAATCATTATAAAACATGAAATAATTAAAAATAGCACGAATCAAGATGGTTCTAAGTATTGTTTTCACAAACACACTGTAATTTCGATTAATATATATATATATATATATATATGTTTAGGAATAATAGGTTGAAGACCACAGAACGGGCAGGGCGAAGCTTCAGGGGGTCAGGGGGATAGGGCCCCACCCGCGACGCAACGAACCCACCAACTAGAGCCACGGAATAAGGAGACTTGGGCACGACGCAAGCCACATCCCCACTGTCCAGGTCGGTCATAGACCGCGCGGTCTAAAGAAAGGGGGCGTATCTCCGTGGACCTCCCACAAAGAGGAGGCCGTCATTGGAGGTAGAATTTGAGAGAGTTTGAGAGTGTGTTTGAGTGTGTGTGTGGCGTTGCGAGTTTTTGTAGGGTTAAGGAGCTCGATTGTGGCCCTGGGCACCATGGCTGGCGTTGCACTGGGAATACGGGTCGGGGTTGCGACCCCTGCTACTTCTTCGTCTGCGTCCTCCTCTTTCTCCCTGCGTCGGGTTTCTTCTTCTTCTTGCGTTTTGGTGCCATCTCTCCGGAGAGCTGTTGCTTCCCGGGATTGCGTCAATGGTGGCTTTGTGACACTGCTCGATGCGAGGAAGCAGAAGATCTTAGTGTCCACGGGGACGGCTGGCCAGGTGCGAGCCCTTGCGCACGAAGCTGGAGCTGTGATTGAGGAGGATTCTGGTCGTGGTAATCGGATAATTCACGGCCGTTGCTTCATTGTTGGGGATAACATTGACACGGACCAAATCATTCCTGCTGAGTACCTGACCCTGGTGCCTTCGAAGCCCGATGAGTATGAGAAGCTTGGGAGCTACGCTATGATTGGGCTTCCTCAGGAATGGGGAAAGTTTGTCGAAGATGGGAAGATGAAGACCGAGTACAAGGTCATCATTGGTGGCGCCAATTTCGGCTGTGGATCTTCTAGGTGCCTGTCATTCTTATGCCTTCTTCATTTTAAATGCTTTTTTATTTTTATTTTTTATGAATGTCTGTTTTAAGGGTTTTTCTTTGCGCAGAGATTTGGCTTACGACTAATTTTCCTTCGCTCTTTGCTCTCAATTGTATAATTTGATTGAATCTGAGGGTCATGGTGTACGCAGCTTCTGTCTTTGGTCTGCGGTGCTGCTCATTCACTATCTGTAGTGTACATTGTCAAATTCAGAAGGCTTGTCAGGGGTTTTCAGGGTTTATGGAGGGTTGAATCATTAGAACCCGTGTCGTTGTACTGTCAGCATGCACATGGGAAAGAGATGTTCCAGTCGTGCAGTATATGCTTTGGGCTAGTTTTTATCGAAGAATGTTTTGTGTAGTGGTTTTTTAACGTGAGTAGAGTGACGTGTCCTCGTAATCCAATCCACTTAGTTGGAAAGTTGATCATATTGAACAAACATTGAAATTTCACTTTCATTTTCGTTTCTTTTTCTGTTTTTCTGTATTTTATTTTTTATATTGTGTGTGTGTGTACATGTTCACTTCTTGGTTTTTTTCGGCTGAGTAGGATGATGAATATGCCTACTCTTGGAGGTTTTCTGATCGTGATAGCTCCGTAGTTACGCATTCCTGAACATCTGGTTATGTCCTGTACAAATTTGCAGGGAGCATGCACCAGTGGCATTAGGTGCTGCTGGTTGTCGTGCCGTGGTAGCCGAATCGTACGCAAGAATCTTCTTCCGAAATTCAGTTGCAACAGGAGAGCTGTATCCTTGTGAAACACAAGAAAAAATCTGGGAGGAGAACCATACTGGCGATTATGTAACTTTGGACATGGAGAAAGATGTGCTGGTGAATCACACAACTGGGAAGCAATACAACTTGAAGCCTATTGGTGAGGCAGGACCAGTCATTGATGCCGGTGGGATATTTGCTTATGCGAGAAAAACTGGAATGATTGCATCTCCAGCACAATAGGCACCCGGTTCTAGTGGTTTCAAGCGTGTCTCACCTTGAGCATCTACTGCTTGCAGTAACTATTTTTCGCCCTCATGTTCCCGTTTTTTAAGCTAAATTGAAATATTTGATTTGTTTAATTTGGTGGCTATTGCCAAGTTTAAACCGATTATATAAAATCATTTAGCCCTGAAGTTGTTCAGGAAGTGGCTGTTTACAAGGACCATAAGTTCTTACAGAATTTCCCTCATGGAACAAGGAGCGTGTGACTATATTTCAAATGGTCACTTCTATTCTCGTCTGGAGCTTTGCAGGTCAATTCCTTGTGGGTGGCTATGGTTCGTTGTTCTGCTGAGTTTGTGAATGTTCCAGAGGACCTTATTAGATAATAGCTGAAGTATCGAACTTCCCAAGTTTCGATATGCATTATCTCCTCTTCATTTGGATAATTTTTTTAGTGTGATAGATTCACCTATACATTATGTGGAATTGATTGCAATTACTCTTACAAAATACTGGAATTTTGAGGAGTGACCATCGTTGGGTTCTTCTTGATCTTGTTCTAAAGAACCTCAGTCCTCGGTGGAACTGCAAAGCATTTAAGTATCAATTGATGTCTATTGACACAGAGCCATTCAGGTTCACGGTGAAAATATTTGAAGAATGGCACGACTCCATCAGGAGGTTGGGTTGCATATACAACTACATGGTTGTGAGCGTATGATTTACGTCCAATGCTCACGAGGATTCGAAACGCTCCAATGAGCCAGATGCCGTCAACGGATTTGTAATGGGAACCTTTGAGGTGCGTTACTGGGCAGTCGTGATTCTCTAATCATAACGATGATTTAGGTTGTGGGAGCACCTACAGACGCTTGAAGGCCGAGAGTGATTTTTGATTGCCAAACAAGTCTGCAGAACGAGTTGACACTATGCATCGCTGCGGTCAACCTCACATCAACATGCACCACGGTAGTCAAGACCTGAAGTCCAAACCAGGAACATTGTAGCAGACCCTCATTTCTTCATGCTTCCACAAATCCAATTTTTCTCTGTGCAACGCTTCCCATCCGGCTTTGCCGCACATCCTCATTGCACGTATACTTAGACTGTATCAGCACCTTCTGAACTCTCATCAATGGCCAATTTATTTGACGAGGAAGAGATTCCACAACGTGGAGTTAATCTTGCTTGTGACTTGAGCAAGGGAGGGACCCAAATCACCCTCAACTGGCGATCAGCACGCTGATGCGCAGTGGCAACTTTTCATGGTAAAATTTTCAGATGTGAGGGCTGACTGCAATTTCCTACCTGCAGGAATCAGAGGTTTACAAGCAAAACTCTCGTTGAGTGTATGAGATCAGAGACAGTGGTAATCTATTCTTCCATCGTTCGTCTGCCCAGCTTTGTGCCAAGTGGGAGGCTTATTTTGGACTTGCACTTATGTGGGTACGTCGGTTTGATCACATTAATGTTGCATTCGTAGTTGGTGGTCCTGTTTAATATACCGTTCGGACACAGTGTGGATCTATTTGACTGTTTCAATGATCAGTTCTTAGCTTCAAATGGATAATGCTTGTTCTGATTTAAACTTCATAGCAAGAGTGTGATATATGTGCAAGGAGGGAGAAGTTACCGAGGAAAAGCACTAATACTGAATGATACGTACACTGTCCATTTTATTATATCTGGCTCTTATTTTTTTCCGCATTCTACTAATCTATGGCTCATTATTAGATTTCCACACTTCATGCATGGATTTTCTTAGTACACTGTAACATCTAAGGTGTAATATAGTTTAAATTTAAAAATTTGAACTTATGTAAAAAAAATGAATTGAAATGGTTTCTTCATAATAATATTTCATACAATTCAAGTAAATTTTTTTGGACATATCATCTCATCTCAAGTGATGATTTGCAAATGGATTCTGAAAAAGTACAAATTATTATGAATCAAAAAATCTCAAGAACTATACATGATATCTAATCTTTTTTGAGATTTGTTGACTATTGTCAAAAATTTGTTAAGAATTTCTCTTAAGTTTTTTTCTCAGTTTTTTTATTTACATGATTAATTTGCAAAGATAAAATTCAAGTATAATCAAAATGAAAAATTAATATTTTAAGGTTTAAAAATAAGATTTATCTTAATTCCTATTTTGTATTGTCTAATATTTTTGAAGTTATTTTTTTATAAGAAAAAATATATTTTGTTTTTATAAGAACAAATTAGATTTTGTAGTAGGTGTAGTTTTATTACAAATGGATAGTGATAATAGACTTCATCCTATTTCTTTTTATTCAAAAACATTCTTAATAGTCAATATTAATTGTGAGATCTCCAATATAAAATTTATTACCAGTGTGGATTCATTCTAAGAACAATAAAAAATTTAAGAAGACTCTTCTTATTCAATCAAAATTTATATTGATTATTAGAATCTTAATTATTTCATATCAATATGTATCTCAAATTATTGTTAAGCTAATTAGAGCATGTCTTTGTCACAATTTATATTTAATATTTCATATTAATCTTGAAAAAATAAGAATTATCAATTACCTTGTCTAGATGTTTTAGTCTTGTATTTAAAAAAATAAATAAATACTGCATATAATTAAAAATGGGCCAAGTTTTTAAAACTGGAGCAACTATACTTTAAGTTCCTAAGTCAATAATTCAAATTGATTCTACTTTCCTTGAAGAAGTTTATTCTAGTATGTTATTGAACCTTCTTGTTTTTGATGTTAAAAATAACCTTTATAATGATTTCAATAAATTTGATTTTAATGATAATTTTCTTTATTATGTATGATACTTATAAATTCTAAAAGATCAAATATAATTATGTGCATTTCAAATATAACATGAATTTCTAATAATATAGCACATAAGATATTAAAAAAAACTTTGGAACTTATTTTAAAAGATTCTTGGTGGCTTCAAATATGAAAATTTGTCAAAATATCTATTCAACCATATTACAATTGTTTTAAAGTAAAGATTCCATGTTATCAATCATATAGACTTTTTCAACTTCTACCTATTATAAAGCAAATTTGGTCATTTATTTCAATGAATTTTTATTACAAATCTTTTGATCATAAATTCTTATAATTCTATTTTTATAATGGTAAATTATCTTATCAAAATTTTATACTTTTTACTATATAAAAAATTAACCATTAGTAAAAAAAAAAACTAATTAATTTTTTCATAAATAATATATATAAAAATTATAGACTTATAAATAATATTATATCTAATTAAGAGCCAAACTTTACATCAAAATTTTAGAATATACTTATTAATATATAAAAGATAAATATCAAGTTATCTTTAGCTTTTTATCTTTAAATTAATTGACAAATAAAATTTATAAATTAAATACTAGATTAATTCTTGTAATACACCATCAACTATTATCAAATCAATTAGACAAATTTATTGCCATAATCAAAATTTCATATGATAAAATAATACATTCTTCTCTTGTCATAAACATACATATTTACCTTAATAATTATCTAGGTTATATGAATAGATAGAAGTAAGTACCAATAAATAAATTTGATAATATCTTATGAAAAGCTTCTTAGAAGCTTTATAGATGCAGATTTGCTTTTAAACATGTCTACAAATGATTTATTGGTTGCAAACTTGGCCAATAAGTTAGCTACATGTTGATATTTTGACTACTTGTGATATAAGTTGGATATATGGCACACATCTAGAAAACTTGCTTTGCAAATTAGACACATCTCCTACAAATTACATATGTGTTGGAGGTCCTATAAAATGTGGATAAGTGGCTCTTAGATAGATGGTATATATAAAAGTAAGAGTGAGGCCTTCTTTATTCTTGTAAATTCTTTTTAAAATTCTAATCTAGTTTTAAGGATCTCTAGTTTTCTTGACTTTTGGTAGTAGTCATATTAATTGCTTCTTGAATATATATATTATTTTTATTTTTATTTTTTTTCTATCTTTTATTGAAAAATATCTTACTTATTTATTTACATTCATTGAATTCTTGTCTTTGACAGATTGACAAGAATATACTTACAATATTAGAGCTTTATCTTTTTTTTAATTAAAAATAAATTATGTCTTTTTCTTGATAAAACATAAGTATATTAGAAGTTAGAAATTATCCTCTTTGAAGTTGATATTATTCTTAGAATTTTTATGTTCTCAAATTCTTTCTTATATTTGTCTTAAGCAATATTAAATATCTTCTTTTTTTTATTGTGTTATGATAGCAAAGCTTATTAAAATAAAAAGTACAATGATATAAATGTAAGAATAATTAAAAAAATTAATTCTTGCAAGAAGTTTAATTTACCACCACAAGTAGCAATAAAATTGATAAGAAATGAAGATATAGAGATGATTGGAACTGCTTCAACATCTATACTAAATCATGTTATTTCTCCCATAGTGGAACATCCTTCAAGTGTTAGATAATCAAAAGTTGCCTTGTTTGAAAAGTTTAATGGCACAAGATCATAGTTTTAAAGACTCATTAATCAAGTGCAACTAATGATTCAACTTTAACTCCAAAACTATCCAATTCCAAGATTACAAGTTAGTTTTATTAAAATATTATTTAAATTTTTTAATTTTAATTTTAATTTTTTTATCTTTATTTTTATCTTTTTTTAAACAAAATGATCTAATATTAAGTAATTAAGAGGTTTTTTTGGCAAATATTTAATCCATGTATAGAAAACATGATGTAATTTGTATTACAACCAATAAGATCCATATTTTACAATAAGATAATTTATCATTAATATTATATGTTTGAAAATTTTGATAACTTGTAATTAATATCAAATAAGATGATACTATAATTATTAGTCAATTATTCTATAGATTAGAATATGAAGTAATTAAATTAATGCTAAAATTACTTGATCCTGAGAAATTGAGTCAAATAATTAACTTTGGTGTAAAGTGTAACAATTGACTTTTAAAATTTTGATTTGAGAATTGCTTAATTAAGATTCAATATTTTCATAATTTAATGGAAATATCCACGTTTTTAAAATACATATATTTGGAAGTAGAAGATATACAAATAGATATGATATGTTTTAAATATCTTACTAAATAAAAAATACTTATTGTTGTTAAGAAAGATTATACTTATATTATAGCAAACCTAAAACAATGAAGCAACTTTTGGCTGTAGCACCAGAATGTCGATCTACATTGAATTTAGTGCTAATACGATGCAGATCCCACACTAAAGAAATTCATGAAGTTAGCTTAAACCCAGATCCGAGAGCACCA